GCCAAAGAAATAATTCTTCAATAATTTAAGAAGAAAACTTTTTTTGAAACAAATAAATTGTTTTTTAATCAAAGAAATTTTGTTTTTTTTTCACATAAATTGTTTTTAAATTGAAAAAAATTTCTTGCATCGAATAAATTATTTTTGATTCAAAGAAATTCTTTTTACTCAATAATTGTTTTTAAATTGAAAAAAAATTTGTTTGAATCGAATAAATTGTTTTTGAATCAAATAAATTTTTTTTGAGTCAAATATTAACATTTTTTTTTAATTAAATGCATTTTTTTGAATCAATGAAAAATTAATGTTTAATCGATGAAACAATTCGAATTAAATGATTTCTTTTAGTAAGCAAATACTTTTTTTCTGTCATCACAATAAAATATTGTATATATACAAGAATAAAAAACGTAATAATGAAAATTAAAAAAAGTAAATAAACTAAATTTCAAAAAATGAGTAAATAAAAAAAAATTGAAATTAAATAAAAAAACATCACAATAAAAGAACATGAGTAAATAAAATTGAAAAATGTAAATAAATATAAATAAATAAAGGAAAAACATACAGAAAAGCTAATAAATGAAATTAAAACAATAAATAACCAGAATTAAAAAACAAGAATAAATAAAAAAAAAGTATTATTCAATATAAACGAAACAAAATGACAAAAGAGAACAAAAAGAAGAAATGAAATAAAAAAAAAATAAATTTGAAAACCCTGATGAATAAAACGTACCTACAAATAAAATAAAAATAAATAAATTTTTCGCATGTATTAATAAACAAACGATACAATAAATTTAAACTAAAAAAAAATCCGTGAGACTCACAGAGCTCATTAGGAAGAATAAATATCACAAATGAAAAGTTTCTTAAAATGAGTGCATAATAGCAAGATAATAAAAAATGCATCTCATAACAATATTTATGAGCTTTCCATTTCTATAAAGGAGTTCTCCAAATCTGCAGAGAGGCGTGCAACCTGATTGTATTCTATCTTTATACATATATACATTATTAAACTATCACATTCTCTTTATTATAGTAATGAGCGCGAATAATTAGGTAACATGTTATTACTCCCACATGCATTAGTAACTGTCGATGGAGAAATTATTGTGATCCACATTCATATATATATATATATGAATAAAGAGATCTATGCCTGAAATATTTTTTTTAATCGATTCTTTTTTTTTTTTTTTGTTTAATTTAACAGAGAGATTTATCACACATAGTAGTGTTTACAATACATTTACATGCCCTGATTCTCGGTAACAAAATAATGCTATTATTTCTAGTTGGAGTAATCTGAGCACTATACATTAACCTTTTAAGCACTTACGATTATTACATACACTCATGAACAACATATACGTATATATATGTGTGTACGTATATAATAATCATTTGTTCTCTAATTTGTTTTCATTTAACTATTTTTTTCTCTTTAATTTAAAAACATTTTTTATTTTTTATTTTTTTATTTCTACCTGTTCTAATAATTTTTTTTCTCAATTATTTATTATTTATTATTTATTATTTATTATTTATTATTTATTATTTATTATTTATTATTTATTATTTATTATTTATTATTTATTATTTATTATTTATTATTTATTATTTATTATTTATTATTTATTATTTATTATTTATTATTTATTATTTATTATTTATTATTTATTATTTATTATTTATTATTTATTATTTATTATTTATTATTTATTATTTATTATTTATTATAATTGTTGATTATTTATTTACTTGAATATAAACGGGACTTGCTCTTTGTACAAAAGTATTTTTATAGTTATTATTTTTTATTTATTTTTGTTATTATTTTTTATCACTATTAATTATAATTAGTTACAGGGATTAAAGTTAGTCCCCTTTTTTCCCCCTTCCTCCTTCTTTATCCCCTGAAATTAATAATATCCCTTAAAACACCTTCTCCCCTTTTCCCCCTTTACAAAAAAATTTTTTACAAAAATTGTCATTCTCTGTTAGTTAAAAAAATTATTTGACTTATTAGGAAATTGCAATGAAGTAATTACACACAATAAAGTAATTATACAAAAATAATTACTACAAAAAGCGATAATTAATTTTAATGCATATCAAAAGCATAAAACACTAAAAGCCTATTTAGCAACTATTTAATGAGATGATGAATAAAAAAAATTATTAAAGTCGTGAACTAAATTTGGATAGAAAATAAAGTTGTTAATTAGAAAACAAAAAAACAAAAAAAAAAAAAAAACTGATACGAATAGGTAAATATCGCGCAAGTGGGTGTGTATATTTTCATAATAAGCTTGATTAAAAATTTCCTTTTCAAGTCACACAGGGACTCATCTAATAGATAAACATCGCAGACAATATTCATTAGGGTGGAAATTCCATTCGTTTAAACCTAGTAACTCATATAATTATAATACTATGTCCATTAATAATGAATTAAAATATGTGTATAAACAAAAGTAAGTCTACAGGAACGAATTTTAATTTTCCACTTCTTGTTTTTTTTTTAAGTGCATATTTACAAAGTATTTTGCGAGCATGTCTATAAACTTGTATTGTATATGTATATTTCTTTAAGTCGCGTGATTCTACACAATTTTTATAAAAGGAGCATTGACCATAAATTCAACAAGCTCCACACAACTTCCACAACTTCCTTTTAACGATTTTTCAAGAAATAATTATAAATTTTTTTCATTTACGGTATCACGGTACTTTTATCCGTTTTACTTTTTTAGAAGTGCCTTAAATGTATATATGTAGTGCTTTGGAGAAGAAAAAAGAAAATTTGCACCTTTTATAAATATCTAAATAAGGGGATGCAAAAAAGTTTTAACTGGGCAGGCAATGTTTATAATTAACAACAGTTATTTATTAATTATGTAATTATTTTTTTTCATATGTTTACAATTATTGTGACTTTTTATTTTTATGATTTTTACTGTTACTATTTTAATTATTATTTTTACAATTATTGTTCCTATTTTAATAATTATTTTGACTAATTACTTATTTTTACAGCTAACTTTTTAGGATAAAATTAGCAATTTGAAAAATAATAGAATTTAAAAATTTGTCATTCAAATTTTTGTTGAAAACACTAGAAAAATGCAATTTTGGAAAAATTACAAATAATTGCAAAAATTCAATTATTTTCAAGAATGATGAAATTCTTCTCATAAAATTCAATTATCTTTCAAATTTTAAAAAAAAATTCTCGTCAAAATCCCAATTATCTTTATAAATATATAACAAAATTCTTCCCCAAAGTTCAATTATTTTTAAATCAATTTCAAATGCCCAAAAATAGTACGCAAACGTTTAATTATTTTTATAAATAATAAAAATTTCTCAGGAATACAATTATTTACCAATTTTTTAAAAATTCCTTCGCAATAATTCAATTATTTTTATAAATAATAAAAATTTTTTTAAGGAATTCAATTATTTTCATGAAAAATAATGAAAAATTGCAGAAAATAATAATTGATTTGAAATGATGAAAATAATTTTGAAAAAATTATTTTAATAATATTCTTATAATATAAAAACAATGATTTTATCACTCGGTCATCCTTAATTATTATAAAACATTCTTATAAGTAATTGAATTTAAAAAGTTTTGTATTTGAAATTTTTTAAATTCTTAATTCCTATGGAAAAATAATATTGATTAAATATTTATTTTTAAAAAAAGTTATAAATACCATTAATTAATTTGTTAAGTAAATAAAATTTCAATAATTTGAATCAAAAATAGAAAAATTATCAAAAATCTGTGAGATAAATAAAATAAAATTAATTAAATTAATATTAATAAAATAAAATAAAATCGACAAACTGTAAAAACTTGGGAATAAATTTTTAGAAAAAAAAACTTAAGTAGCAATTAACATTAAGTAAAATTAATTTCTGTTAATTATTTACTTTATATTTTATTTTGTTAAGAACTTGATTTTTTTTTCTTATTATTTCGTTCTTATTTTTTATTCTTTATCAAAACTGACAAATCAACGGGAAGGAATTTCGTGTCTTATAATCGACACCTGCGCGCAAGAAATGATTCAATTTAAGAAAGACAATTAAATTAATGTTATAAATAATAAATCGAAATAAATAAAATAAATGGTAATATTAATTATCTAGAAATGTTAAATTAATTTAATTAAATTACAAAATTATTTGTATAATTACGAAAATATTAATAATGTAGATATTATTATTAATAATAATAAAAAATAATAATAATAATAAAAAATAATAATAATAATAATAATAATAATATATTAATAATTATATTTTAATAATAATATTTTAATAATTATATTTACAAGTAAATAAATAATAATGTAATATAATATAATATATTTATTATATAGTGCACTAGAGACTCAATTATCAAAACATACAAGACAGATGGTGGATGTCTCAATAATTGAGGTTCTAGTGTACTGTATATTTTACAAGCACTGCACTAAAAAAAATTATGTTTGAATCAAATATTCTATTTTATTGTATAAACCATATTTTTAAGTCATATAAATTTTGGGAAAATTTGTAAACATTTTTCTATATTTATAACATTGGTAAATATTTGTGAACATTTTTAAACATTTGTAAACATTGGTAAATATTTGTAAACACTTTTAAACATTTGTAAACATTGGTAAATATTTGTAAACACTTTTAAACATTTGCAAACATTGGTAAACATTGGTAAACATTTGTAAACATTTGCAAACATTGGTAAACATTTGTAAACCTTGGTAAATATTTGTAAACATTTGTAAACCTTGGTAAATATTTGTAAACATTTGTAAAAGTTTGAAAATTTGTTCATTCTTTTCCTGAGAAGAAAAAGCATTTTTTATTTGTTCTTCAGCGGAAAAATCTTATTGTACACCATACGCATTATTTATAATATAAGATTTTAATGCTGAATGAATGGAATACTGAAAGTAAAGTTTATTTACCTTTTCAAGAAACTGAACGGCCCGTGACATGACTCAACATCAAATTGACTTCAAGGATGAGGCAAAACAAGGTTAATTGCACACTGTAGAATTCAAAAGATCTTTTGCACTATTGTCCTCTCCACACCATTTATATTCAAACTTCCGGTCCAATTTAGCAAAACATATCCAATGTGTCGTGAAAACTTTCTAATTACCCAGAAAAGCTCTCCTCTATATTATGAATCACAGAAAAAAAAAAGATTTACAAACTTAATTATTAAAATTCTTTTTCTTTTTTTTCTAAGAAAATTTTTTCATTTATATTTGAATAATATTTGCAAGATTCACTTCTATTCTCCACGTGTGATAACGTTATCAATAATGTATGCTTCTACCCGACAATATTTACTGATTGTACATTGTTGAACTTTAACGTTTACTCGGTATTTTGCTTTTAATTTATTGATATACTTCAAATATGGAAAATTCAATTTTATTGAAAAAATATTTTAAATATTTTCTTGAATTTTCGTAAAAGTAAAAAATTTTTTTACTTTTGAGTTAGTTATTGTTTTTATAAAGTGGAAAAATTGAGAAAATATTTCATGAAACAAGCTGCACGGCAGCTGACGTTTAACTGTCAAAGCATGGTGTAGGTTTCATGTAGGAAACTCTCGCGAGCCCCCAACTCTTCAGTCAGCTGATCGCCCCTCTGCTACATATATTACCGTATGTGAGGAGGGTCACCCCTCGAGGTATACATACTGGCAGACAAGATTTCTGTTTCACCACTATATACAATATATGATCTCGACACAAGCTTGAAAACTTGCTTTTTCACACGATTCCACCCTTTCGTCTGTCAGACTTTATTCATCTATATATGCTTTCTGCAAAGCTTGACATTTAGTATTTTTTAATTAAAAAAAAAAAGAAAGAAAAATTTCAGAGAATAAATTTTAAATTAATGAGATATATAGATTTTTTTTTAAATTAATGAGTTGTAATGCATTTCTTTTTTTATACTTTAATTCGAGCGCTAAAGCGCGCGGCTAACTTTTTAGAATAAAATTAGCATATTTAAAAATAATAGAATTTAAAAATTTAATATTCAAATTTTTTTTTGAAAACACTAGAAAAATTAAATTATGGAAAAATTACAAATAATTGCAGATATTCAATTATTTTCAAGAGTGATAAAATTCTTCTCATAAAATTCAATTATCTTTCAAATTTAAAAAAAAATTCTGGTCAAAATCCCAATTATCTTTATAAATATAACAAAATTCTTCCCCAAAGTTCAATTATTTTCAGATCAATTTCAAATTCCCAAAAATAGTAGGGGAATGTAGTCAAGGTTGGCCTACTGTCTAGGTAGGCCACTCGCGTTTTTTTGTCAAGTTCACTAGCGCCACCTACGCGCATTTTTGTCGAAGCTTGTCTTAGTGAAACCTAACTTTTTGTTCAATTACATTTTCGGAAAATCGAAAATTGTGTTTTCTGTGACGTCGGTACAAAAAAAGCTCAAAAAAAGTTTTGTGCATAATGTGAAAAACCATTAATAAAAGATAAAAAACAAATTGAATCGTCAAGGCAAGTATGCAGAAAATTTGTGGGACTCATGGTTGAAAGGAAAACAAAGTAAAAAATCGAATCCCGAAACGTATTTCTTTTTGTTTACAACAATTCGGTAATGTTACTTACTGTCAAGGTCGGCCACTATGTGTTTAAAATGCGCAAAGTTGAGGACGAGCTACTTCATTTGCAAAAACTGCAATTCTGTATAACTCATAATATAATTGATCATCTTATTAATATTTTTATTTAATTTTATTAATATTTTAGTGCAAAACTTTTTTTTATTTATATTTATTTTTTTATATTGTTTATTGTTATTATTTTGTTATTTCATTAAGTTACAAACTGTAAACAATAAAGAATCAATTTTCCGTAACTCCAAACATGTTATTTTATTTTTTAACGATTAATGCCCTTTGAATTTTAAACATGGCCGACCTTGACTGTAATGGCTAACCTGGACTACAAATTTTTTTTTTTTTAAATCTTTATAACTTTTTCATTTTTAAACCTGTCAATTTACTTTGTACAGAAAAAATGTTCCTATTAAACAGGACTTTCCAACCATATACTTCAATTGTCCAAATTCATTTTTAAAAAAAAGTTATAAACAAAAGTCAAAAAGGTGGCCGACCTAGACTATGTTCCCCTACCCAAACAATTTAATTATTTTCATAAATAATAAAAATTTCCCAGGAATTCAATTATTTGCAAATTTTTTTATAAATTCCTTTGCAATAATTCAATTATTTTTATAAACAATAAAAATTATTTTAATGAATTCAATTATTTTCATAAAAAATAATTAAAAATTGTAGAAAATAATAATTGATTTGAAATGATGAAAATAATTTTGAAAAAGTTACTGTAATAATATATTCAATGATTTTATCACTCGGTCATTTTTAATTATTTATTTATTTATTTATTTATTCAATCTTACACGGGTTCAAACGAATTATTATAAGTTATTAAATTTAAAAAGATTTGAATTAGAATGTTTAGAAAAATTTTAATTCCTACGGAAAAATAATATTTAAATATTTATTTAAAAAAAAGTTATAGATGTTTTCGAATAATTTTACAATTAAATATGTTCGTAAATAAATGTAACAGAACATTTTTTTTTAGTAAAATTTTTTCCTTTATTTTCTAAAAATTTAAAAAAGTTTCAATTTCATTTTCAATTAAAATTTGTAATTGAAAAATAGAATAGAATATGTAATGTTTCTTTTCCAAAAGAATTGAATTTTGTCAGCTGCTTCTTTGGATTAAAGATATCAATTAAAGAAAAAATTTCATAATTTCAAAACATTTAAGAATTAATTTTTTCTTAAAGAAAAAAAACATCTATTACAATGTAAAATAAATTGTTCAATTCAAACAAATTTTATCTTCAATTTAAAAAATTATTTTAAAAAAGGATTTCTTTGTTTCAAACAAATCTGTTTTTTTGGGTGTAAAATTAGTGCTAAAGAAAAAGTTCTCGTTGATTTCATGAAATCATTTACTTTTACTTGTTTCTTCAATAAAAAATTGATTTTTCTTATTTAAAGAAAATTTATTCGATTAAAAAAAAAATGTTTTTGATACAAAAACGATTTAATAGTTTCAAAGAATTATTTCCCTTTATAAATTAAAGAAATTATCTTTGATTCTATATGAATGATAGAATTTTTTTGATTTAAATAACAATTTTCTTGGTTTAAAAAAAATTGTTTAAATCATCTAATATTTGTTAAAATCATAAAAAATTTGTTTAAATCAAAGAAATTTTCTTTGAATTAAAAATTTTTTTTTAAATTAAAGAATTATTTATTTAATTCTTTTTTTTCATTTCTATATATCAAAAACAAAATTTCTGTGACATAAAGAATAAATTTCTTTAGTTCAAACAAAAAATTTGTTTCAATTAAAAAAAAACATTTTCAAATGAGTCAAAAACCCCCTTTTTGTTTAAAAGAAACATCAATTTTGAATGCAACAAAAAGGAGTCTAAGAAAATGATTTCTTTGAATTAACAAAAAATTTTTTTCTGGATGTATTGTGAAATTAAGAATTAATTCTTAATTTCAGAATACATGTTTTTGTGTAACGTTATCACACGTGGAGAATTTAAGTGAATCTTATGAATATTATTCATTATGAAAATTTATAATCTTAGAATAAAATTTTGAAAATAAATCCACGATTTTCTTTTCAAATATAGTTTGGAAGACATTTTTAAAACAAAATATTGAAGCAATAAATTTTTTATCCTATTAATAAACTAAAAGTTAATTTTTACCTGCAAGGAGAAAAAGAATTCATTAATTTAACATTAAGATTGTTAATATAGAACTAATTTTATTTTCTTGTCCCAATAATTCAAACAATTTTCTTTTCTATATGTATGAATTAGAATTTTCAATTTTACCTTACATTATTTTCTGAAACTGAAACAAAAAAAAGATTCTATTGAAAAATTATTTTTCTATGGGTCTTAATTGCTATCTGCATAAGACAAATAAATAATTTTAAAAATTAATAAATAAATAAGTAAGTAAATAAGTCAATAAATAAGTACAAAAATAAATAAATAGATACATAAACAAATAAATAAGTAAGTAAATAAGTGAATAAATAAGTAAATAAATAAGTACAAAAATAAATAAATAGATAAAAAAACAAATAAATAAGTAAGTAAATAAGTAAATAAATAAGTAAAAAAATAAATAAATAGGTAAATAAACAAATAAATAAGTAAATATATTAGTAAATAAATTTAAAAGTAAATAAACAAATGAATAAATAGAAACAATTAGAAGAAAAGTTATTCAAATTGATACTCAACTTTTTAGGCACTCTTTTAGATTGTAATCATAAAACTATAAAATATTTAATCACTGGAAAAAAAATTAACTTTCGACTGCAATTTTAAAAAAACTACGCGCAGATTTGTTTGCAGCGTACAAAAAAATTATAAAGAAAATATTTGCAAAATATTTAAAAATAATAATATTGCAAAAAGCATGATTGCAAACGAAAAGAAACGAACCATGAAAACAATTTTTTTTACACTGTTATTAATATTTATAAACACTTTTTTCACATTATATAAAAAAAACAAAAAAGACATTGAAACATGGAAACATTAATGAAACGTGATTTAAAAAGTGATAAATTCGCGCAAGTTCGTTTGCAGCGAATAAAAATTCTTTTGTGGAAAAATTCTTCTCGCCGGTAATAAAGGAAGCAAAAGAAATACAATTTTAGAAAGAAAACATACACGCGAGAGTTTGTTTGTTCGGGTTTGAAAGTCTTTTTTTTCCAGAGAAATTAATAAAAAAGACGAAATATAAACGCAATTTAAAAAATAAAAACCGGACGACTTCTATATAACAAATTGTTATTTTTCTTTGGAAAAAAAATGATAACAAACAAAAATTAAAAGAGCTGCAAAAGTAATTACAAAAAATGATTAAAAATTCGCGCAAGTTTTTTTTTGCAGCGTTTTCCATCGTAAAAATTTGTTTGTACAGGAAAGTCACAACAATGACTTGTTGGAAAAAATAATTATCTAGAAAAAATTCTAAATAAAGAAATATAATAAGTCTCTGGGAATATAACTTTTCGGGTATTCCAATTTTCTAAGCAATAAGATGATGATTTTACTGGAAAATAAGAAAGCAAACGAAAACACAATACAAAAACATTTTTTTTTGTATTGTGTATTTTTCACTTCTTTGACAAGTTTGCAAAAAAATATTCTATGCTACCGTTTGTAGAATAAGATATTTTTTGCCAAAAACTGCAAAGGTGAAATAAAAATAATAGGAAAAAACATAGCGACACTAAGGCATGGAATAAAATAATTTAACATTGTTTTGTCGCTCTACCTACTGCACTATTTAATAATAACTTCTTAATTACTTAATTTGTAATTAACTTAATTTGATTATAAAAGTTCGCCTTTTATTCTCATACGCAGCAAAAAAAGAAATACCTACAACTATTCTGAAAACACTCCTAATAACCAGATTCTTCTAAATTATAACGTTTTTCAAGATTCTCTCACATACCGTCCAGATACAAATTCTTAAGGGTCATAGCAAAATCATATGCGAACCTAAAGCATATAAAAAGGGTTTTTAAAAATCTTTAGACTTCATAAGTTTCCGGACGCATCCGAACACCTGAGTTCCAAACCTTCGAAACTCAAAATGAAAAAATCCAAACACTTTTTGAATTTGTGAATTGTTGAAAAATGAGTAAATTAGTGTCGCTATGTAAATGTAAAAAAAATCGACTTGCAGTTCGTTGACTCCCTCGATGAAGAGCTCTGGCAGCATCACCACTTTTTCACGGCCAATCCGTAGTCTCTGCAGGGGGTCACTTTTTCCACGTTCCTCCTTCCTGTCTATCAGTCTGAAACATGAGGGAAAAATTATTTATCAACAAGAGAGTTCCCTAATTATTTTTACATTTTTCCAAGAGTAAAAATAATTCAGATATTTACACGAAAATAAAAATTCAGTGAATTTAACAGAATATGTTCTGTTCTAGCTGAAGATATTCTGGAAACTGTAAAATATGGTCAATAATACAGGATAATGTTCAGAAGTTGTAGATTAAATAATATACTTAACAGTTTTTCTAAATTTTTAACGGTATTAACTACCAAATTTTACAGAACTCCATAAAATTAAAGAAAATGTATTTTACGATTTGATACATTTAAATAAGAATTGAAAGTGATTGAAAGTAAAAATGTTTCTTCAAAATCGTCTTTCACACAAATTATTAATTCTGAAAAATCATAAAATTATTAATTATACAAAAGAAAAATCTCACCTTTGACTTCATTCTTCCATGCCCGACCTCCATCCTAGAGAATCCCTCGAATATCCATTTCAAAACACACAATTTGAAAAAAAATTCGCGAACACTCCCGAAATCACAATTAAATACCAATTATCAAACGAACGCGATTATAAGAAAATTCGAACGCACCCGAAACTTTTCATGAATATTATAATTTATGCGTACACTTAAAACTGGAATTTAACAAAAGAAAAATATTAATAAACACCCTATAAACGATCGCGGTTTTAGAAAATTTGCGAAAACTCCCGAAGCTAATAATTTTTAGAATTATTTTAACAGTTTTTTTTTTGTGAAAATTGCAACAGTTGCAAATTTTTTGAACATGTTGCTTTTCCGAAATTAGGTATTCACAATGATGTAATGTTTAGTGTTAATAGAAGGATTCGCAGATTGAAACTGTGCACAAAATGTATTTTCTATTGTATTCTGAATTTCAATTTTCACGAGTTATGACCTGTTAATCGACTCCTTTGTTTGCAAACCGAATGTAAACACATTGCCTGGAGAATTGACCTGAGATCCCGGAGAATCATTGTTTTGTTCCGCTTCCTGGAAAATTACAGACAAAACATATTATTAGCTCGTTTAAATTTAGGTGGATTAATAGTTTTTAGTTTGTAACAAGTATTTTTAAATAAGAATAATAAATATGGTGTAATTTATTTTTCCCCATAACAATTTTTTAACAATTTAATCAAAGCATTCATTAAAAATTAACAAACAAATTTTAATTCATATTTTTAATTATAGTAATTTTTATTAATCTGTTAATTTTATTAATTTATTAATTTTTATTATTATTATTATTTTTACTAATTATTGGTGGGATGTTGCTAAACAACATCCTGAAGAAAAAAAGGTTATTTCATTTCACTTTAACTTTTAAGTCGTAGCAGCCACAATCGACCTTAGCAGAAGATCAAAATTTGGGGAAAAATAAGTTTATATTCAAATTCTTTAATTCTAATAAATTTAATGGGCTGAAATTTATCTACATTGTTGCTGGAATGTTGTCAAACAACATCCAGACGAACGGAAATATTTGGTTTATTTTATTTTAACTTTTAAGTTGTAGCAGTCACAGCTGATGTTAGCAGAAGATCAAAATTTGGGGAAAAATAAGTTTAAATCCAAATTTTTTTTAATTCTAGTAATTTTTATGGGCTGGTAATCATCTGAGTTGTTGCTAGGATGTTGCTAAACAACATTCTAATGAAAAAAAATTTAATTCACAATTAATAAAAAGTAACCACAGCCGATAATCAGCAGAAGATGAAAAATTAGTTTTGAGCGAACTTTATCTTTTGTTTACTAACAATTTTTAGTCATAAAATTTTTTACTGGTCCCAAACTATTGCTAGAACAATTCCAATTAATATCTGGGTCATAAAAATAAATTTAATTCACAATTCATAAAAAGTAACCACAGCCGATAATCAGCAGAAGATAAAAAATTAGTTTTGAGCGAACTTTATCTTTTGTTTACTAACAATTTTTAGTCATAAAATTTTTTACTGGTCCCAAACTATTGCTAGAACAATTCCAATTAATATCTGGGTCATAAAAATAAATTTAATTCACAATTCGTAAAAAGTAACCACAGCCGATAATCAGCAGAAGATGAAAAATTATTTTTGAGCGAACTTTATCTTCAGTTTACTAACAATTTTTAGTCGTACAATTTTTTACTGGTCCTAAGATATTGCTAGAACAATTCCAATTAATATCTGGGTCATAAAAGTTAATTTAATTCCCAATTCATAAAAAGTAACCACAGCCGATAATAAGCAGAAGATGAAAAATTATTTTTGAGCGAACTTTATCTTCAGTTTACTAACAATTTTTAGTCATAAAATTTTTACTGGTCCTAACTTATCACTAGAACAATTCCAATTAATATCTGGGTCATAAAAAAAAGTTTAATTCAAAATTCATAAAAAGTAACATATAAAAGTAATTTCTGTTTCAGCAGAAGATGAAAAATTATTTTTGAGCGAACTTTATCTTCAGTTTACTAACAATTTTTTTTAGTCATAAAATTTTTAACTGGTGCCAAACTATTGCTAGAACAATTCCAATTAATATCTGGGTCATAAAAAAAAGTTTAATTCACAATTCATAAAAAGTAACATATAAAAGTAATTTCTGTTTCAGCAGAAGATGAAAAATTATTTTTGAGCGAACTTTATCTTCAGTTTACTAACAATTTTTAGTCAGGGTTTGTGTTAACCATGACCTAATAAGTTTTTTCAATATGCAAAAGTTAAAAACGATTTTAACAAAAAGAAAATGTTAAATATAATTTTATTAATTAAAATTTAATTCTTCTTAAACTTTTCATCTTTTTTTTTTATTATTTTATTTTTTCTTTTTAATATTATTATCTTAATTGTTGACGAGAAAATTATAATAAAAGTCAAGAGAGCTTATCTTTTCTTCCTTTCACGAGGAAGTGAATTCACTCAACATGATCTTATTTCGGGAACTTTGATATTTGCATAGTAAACACAATATAAATTCACCTTGAATGAAAAGAAAGCAACATTTTTAAAAGTGGTTTTTTCCTTTTCTTTTCAGAGACATTATTTTGCATATTTTTTTTATTGCATGCAATTACACAGTCTGCACGTAGAGCAGAACAAAAAATTAGATCAACTACGATTTATTAACTACAAAATTAGGTAAATGTGTCACAAGATGTCAACAATAATAAATTACTTTGCTATCACATTTTTGAAATCTAGATAAGACTCATTCCTTTAAAAATCGAAATGTATCGAAAAATGTGTGCAGTTGCGCAAATTTTCTCCATTTCATTCAAAGTCAGAAATTTTTTTACAAAAATATTTTTTTTCACATAAGAAATAAATTAGAAAATTGTGATTCATTGCCGGAATTTGTATACATTTTTATAAACTTTACGTAAAAAAAATCATTCGTTTCCTTATGAAAATAAATTGATAAACTGATAAAATATTCAATTATTTTCACACATAGTTCAGAAACATTCAAATTTGATTTAAAATTATAATTATTTCCCGTCAGTGAAAAGTATTTTTATTATTATTCTTTGGAAAAATTTGAATATCAAAAAAAGGAAATAAAACAAATTCTTTACGCGAAAATTTTTTTTCTTTTCAAAAAATTCTAACCTTGAGGAAACAATGTGTACAATGTTAATGAACTTTTAATTACGTGAGAGGGAAAATTCTTAAATGTGCATAAGAATTTATGCAAATTTTCTTTTACCGATTTTAATTTCACGATATATAACAACTGAACATACAAGGTATATCAAGTTTGCTAATCTCATTGATATTGAATTATTATTATTTATCAGATATAATTTTTTGCTTCCTGGTTAATTTATGTGTAACGGAAGGTGTTTTAAGAGAAATTTTCAGTGCAAATTCACATTTCAAGTTTTTTGCATTATTATTGCAGAGTATATAAGATGAGAAATTACTTTCATATCCTTTTTTTTATTTGTTCTTGAAATTTAATGTAATTTTTGTAATTTAATTTTATTAGATAGAATTTGTGCAACTTTATCAGAAAAATGGTTTCGGTTATTTTATTGTTTATCACATTTATTGCAACAATTAGGACCCAACAGGTAAGGTAATATTGTAACGGGATTTTTTTGTTTTTAAAAATAAAAGAAAAAGTTTCTTTCAGTTTCATCAACACATGTCCGATGTGGAATTGAAAGATATTTTCCAAATTAGTCACACTTCAGGTAATTAAATAATTTTTTAATATAATTATTATCACTATCACTATCAGTATCACTATCTCTATCACAATTTTTATTATTTTTTTTTTTATTATTATTTTTATTATTGTTTTTTTATTACTTTTATTATTTTCATTACTATTATTTTTGTCTTTATTTTTATATTAAATATTATTATTAATAAAAATAATGTAATATTACACTGATCACAATTATTATTTCTAGAAATTCCACATTATGAACTTGTTTCTGTAAGGCATAAAATTAATAAAAGTGCAGATCAAATAATTGAAGCTCAAATATCAAGTCAAAAGAAAACACTCTTTTTGAATCCAACCGAAGGGGTTTTGGCGGGAAAAAATACGAAAATTTGGCTGGGTAAAACAAAAAAAATCGAAGAGGAATCAATAACTGATCTGAAATTCAAATTAATTACAAATGCAAGTACAGCGAATTTTCATTTTTTGATATTGATTTGAAAATAATTGAACTTTGGGGAAGAATTTTGTTATTTATAAAGATAATTGATGGGATAATTGGTAAAGTAATAAAATAATAAAATAACACGAAATAAAATAATATAAAATAGAATAATATGGAATAAAATAATAGGCTAATAAAAAAATATAATAAAATAATAATTTAGTAATTAAATAACAATAAATAATAATAGTCGACGATAAGTATTGTTAATAATAAGAATATATTAACATTTATTAATAATTAATAATTTTTCTCAAGTAAACGGTTTTCTTTTTTAATAATTAGGTAATGGAAGATGTTGGGGAATTTTTTCACGACCTAAATAATGGAGCAGCTTTAAGAATGAGAAGAGATGCAAATGGTCATACACTATGGGTATATTTTAAGTTTTATCAGTAAAAAAAAATTTTAAATATTCAAATTTTGTTTTAAAATTATTAATTGAATGAAACTACTCAGGATGGAACTTTTGGTCCAGAACACATGATACGTTCCCTGCCTGAACGTCATCGAAAAAATTGTACCCTCGTTCCATGTAATTTTAAATTATTCGAGAAGGACAAAGATGATTTTTTAACCACCTATCATCACATTATTTATAAAATAGACGATATTTTGGGCGAAAATAATGAGACACAGTATTGTAAGTTTTGAAAATTAATCAAATAAATATAAAAATAAAAAAAGCAAAAATTTGTTTTCAACAAATAATTTTGAATTAATATTATCTTTAAAATTAGATACCCTACCAATGGAAATTTATTCTGGACCAGCAGAAGTTGTATATCCTGAAATACTGGTTGTAGTCGACGAAGGACTTTTTAGGTAAATGATAAATTTTCGAACTTTACAATAAAATTATTATTTAATTTTCTAACAATATTTCTATATTTTAATTCCTTACTATTTATTTACAACACTAATTTCATTAGTAAATTCGATGGAAATGTTAAGAATGCAGTCAGCTACCTTCTAACATTCTGGAATGCAGTGGATTTGCGGTACAGAAATCTCAACAGTCCGAAAGTGCGATTAAATATTGCAGGAATTGTTTTAATGGAGGTAATAAAGACTAAAAAATTTGAAAAAAAAGAAGTTGAAATTATTCTACCAGTTATTGCAATATTAAAGATTAAAATTTACATTTTTTTTTTGCTATATTCATTTCTTAATTATTTTTAAACTCTATTTTTATGAATATATTTATTTGTTATTTTATGAATATTTATTATCTTTATTTTTAAATCAAAGGGACCTCTTGAATATTCGAATGGTTATCTAGAGGAAAATGGAAATAAAAGTTACTTATTGAACCTACTTTTGCCACAAACTGGCTTCTATTTTATTCATAGATGGGCCGCAGTTAATGAAGCATACTTCGACATGGTCGTTCTTACCACTGGGTAATTAATTACTTTAATAAAAATTTACTAACGTCAAATTATATCTTTTTGCTTCAATAAAAATTTACAAACTACGTTACACTTAGAAAAAATTTGATTTTCTAAAAAAATTTTATTTATTATAAGTTATTTTTGTAAAAAAAAAAATGCTGATAGGGAAGGTTAAAAATTAGTCCAAAATAGCGAAGTAGGTAGTAGTTTGTAAACTAGTAAATTTTTATTAAAGTAATTAATAAAGGAATTATTTTGCCAGACAAATTTTTTCCAGTATTAACAGAATGAAAATTTTTCTTTTACAGACATCGACTTTTGAATCAGATTCAAAATAATGTTACAAGAAAAGATGAAGGTGAGCTAGCTGGCTCGAGAGTACAGGAGAAGCGGTCCCCCACCACGCGGGCGCTTCCCCCTCCCTTTTGACTCCCATCCAACGCATGGTGGGGAGCGCTTCTCTCTGACTGACTCAACCAGATCTAATTTATTATCTAATCGACTCTAATTCTAGCGTTAATTTATTCCCAGGTGGAGCATACTTTCAAGGAGCGTGCAATTTTACCTACTCTATTGCTGTGGGAGTTTTTCGTGACAATGGAGGTTTTCAAGGATTAACTTCCGGTTCTCATGAAGTTGGCCATCTGTATGTATTGCAATAAAATTCTTCTACTAAAAAGAATTTAATAAAATAAAATTTAAAAAAATAAAACCTAATTTCAATGTAAAGTAATTTTTTTTCTAGATTAGGTGCACCACATGACATTGATTATACGGATGATGATTGTAAATGGGATTTAGGATACATGATGAGCTATGTAAATGGATCGGAGAGGAGAGTTAGACTGAATCGTTGCAATCAACGACAAATGCGAGATTTTCTAAAGTAATTTTTATCAAAAACAAAAAAAAAACCAAACAAAAAGTAATTCCACGAAAGGAAATTTTTTAAATGTAAATATTTTCTTTTTTCTTGCAGTTCGGATAAAGCACTCTGCCTTCGGAATCCACCCTTCACGGACGAACCAATAGAAAAAATTTTGCCAGGCAAATTAATGACACTAGACGAACAGTGCATGAAAAAAACAGGACATTCATCTTGTGATGTAAATACTACTTTGTTTACTTTTCATACATTCAGTCATTTATTTTCAAAATCTAGATAAATAATAATTAAAAATAAGTCTAGATAAATTCTACATTATTAATTGACTATTAAATATTAATTTGTAATTTAAAAAAAAATAATTGTGCAAACTACCAAATACTTACTAAAATTCATTTAGAAATTCTGTCGACTTTGTAAAATTCAATGAAACTTTTTTGACATGGGTAACTAAGTATTAAAACACTTTTTAATGTCTAAAGAAAAATGCTTAGAAAAAAAATTATAAAGGCTTCTAGATACATTAGAATCAGTAATAAATAGTGATCTAACTTTTACTAAATAAAATTTAATGAAAGTGACATTAACTCCTTTTAGTATGGCGAAAAACATTGTGTTCAATTGCACTGCAAAGAAATTAAAGACAATAAGGAGATTTGTTCTGCTTTTGAACCGGCAGCAGAGGGATCGACATGTGGAAATAAAAAGGTAAACCTAAATTTTAAGTAATTAAATTTTTTCCATTTTATATAAAATATTTTTCTTTTTAACTTTCAGTATTGTTTGAATGCAGAGTGCGTTGACGAATCAGCAGAAAATGTTCCTAATTTATTTACCTATCTTGAATAGAACCAGGAGAATAATTTATTTCATCGAAAGTCACAATGTTGTTGTAGCTAGTGAATAAATTTTAATTTTTGTAATTATCTTTGGTTCTTAGAAATTAAGTGAGACAAAAAACGAATCAAAAGTGTTGCCTCGCAAAACTTTTTTTTTGTTTTGTCTCACTTAATTTCTGATTCGTTTTTGTCTTAATTTTATATCCTAAGAAAATCAGTGTTATAGTCAAATATATTCTTTTCTGAATGTTGATTTTAATTCCAAAGTTAAATCTTAAAAATTCAGATAAAAAATTTGTTCTTCTTTCAATAATAAAACAAATCTCTAGGGAGTTTTTTACAGATACCTAATTTCGAATTTGACATTCAAAATTAAAATTCGGGGACAGTGACAATTTTCCAGCGAATTCAACATTAAATATTTATTATCATTGTCACGTTTGTGAGTGACGATTGCGGATAATTACAATACATATAATTCGTATATATCGAGTAACCTTCATCTGACAAAAGATTGTTTAGAATTAATTCTATGGTTAGCTACAAATAATTGAATCTATATATTATATTCCTCCTGCCGCTATTCAATCTTTGTACACACATTGTAAAGAATAAGCCAGCATTGCAACCTTAAACAGAGAATGACTGTTCGAGTCCAAATCTGGCTTTGATCGATGGACTCACTCATTATGCAGCGAATGTGATATTGTGATAATGTCAATTGCCGTTCATTTCGCGTTTGCTTAACTATTTTCAACACTCACCATAATCAATCAGAACAGATGGCTCAGCATAAAAATATTGACTTTTTCAATTCAAAAGAGTTTAATTATTAGAAAAAAATGTCATTTACTCTCGGCAATACTAAAAAGAACACGATTCTTTATTATTTTTTAAAAGAATTATAATTTTAATTATAATTGCGACTATAATCCCACAGAAAAAACAAAGTCTGAAACCGATTACATCTTAAAACCAAAATGATTGAAAAATAGCCTATTTTTAGGCTGAAAACTATAGATTAAGTCAATTTTATGACTTAAAATAATACTCTCAAGGCTAAGGCTTAGTTAAAAATGTTTCTAATGTAAATGGTTTTAGTCAAAAAGAGACTGAAAGTAAGATTTATTTTTTACAGTTCTTTGAATAAAATAATATTTATTTGAGTCAATTAAATGGTATTCGAATCAATAATTTCAGTATTTGAAGCAAGTACACCATTTAATTGACTCCAATAAATATTATTTAATTCAATTTAAATATTTTTTTGATAATAGTCAAGGAATCGGTTATCTAAATCAAATAAATTTGTTTTTCACTGTAGATTATGATTTTAAGTACTAAAATGAAATTAATCTAGTTTTCAGCTTAAAAGTAGTCTACTCTTCGTCTATTTTAGTAAAAAAAACAGACTACAAAATAAATCTTACATTTAGTTTGCAATTTTGGCAAAAAATAATTTAAATTCAAGCATCAAAGACATTTATTCAGTGGCATTAAAAATTTGTCTCTCTAATATAAATAATAAATAATAATTCGTCTAAATAATAAATATAAATAGAGAATAAACTGTAAAGAGAATATCAAAAGAACAGTATACTATTTTTAACATGAGCTTTTTTTCAGAAATAAATGATTTTTTTTAGTTTTTAATTATAATAATTTGCAGACATATTTTAATATGTCTGTCAATATGAGTTATTATATCGAGTACGTGCATGCGGGGATCAATTTACATTATGTGCTGTACTAATTTGATTCTTGTTGCGACCCTTATCAGGTTTGACGCAGATAGAACGTTATATGCTTAAATTCAATTATAAATTTATCTTCACACTTTTTCTTCATTAACTTTTTTTAACATTCTCAGCAAAAATGAAAAAAGTAGTTTTGTAATTATAATAATTATTTGTAATTAATTAATTCTAGTATACACTATTTTTCATTTCAAAAAAGTAGAAAATAACACTTAACAAAAATTTGTTTGATTCAAATAACCGATTGCTTGTCTATTATTAAATAAATATTTACTTGAATAAAAAAAAAAATTTACTTGAATCTAATAAATATTTACTTGAATCAAATAAATATTTACTTTAATTAAATAAATATTTACTTAAATCAAATAAATATATAATTTAATTAAATAAATATTTATTTGAATCGAATAAATATTTACTTGAATCTAATAAATATTTACTTGAATCAAATAAATTTTATTTAAGTCAAATATATTGTATTTTTACCAATAATTTCAGTATTTGAAGAAAATAATATAATATAATTGACTCAAATAAAAATTATTTTATTCAAATAAATATTTAATTTACAATAGTCAAGTAATCGGTTATTTGAATCAAATAAATTTTTCTTTCAGTGTAGTGAATTACATTTTACATTGAGTTTAATTTAATTTAAATAATAAAAAATTATAAAGAAGTAAAAGTTATAAATAAATATAATGAATAAATAAACATAGCAAAGAACCAAATATAACAATTAAACAAACATAAAAAATATTCAAAATATAAAAATAAACAAACATAAAAATATGAAAAATATAAAAATAAACAAACATAAAAAATATGAAAAATATAATAAATAAACAAAGCTAATTAATTATCATTTACTATTTAAATCTAATTTTTGAATATTTAATTACTGCGTTTAATTTTTAATTTAAAAAATCAAAAACCAATCAATCATTAATTTTCAAAATAATTTAATAAACTTTTAAAAAAATTTTTAATTTAATTACAACTTTTTATTTAAGAATTATTCAAAAATTATAATTAGTAGTTAATAATTAGCATTTTAATTCTTCGCGCTGTTTAGCTTCACGCACAATTGTGCGCAGCTTGAATTAAACTCGACACCAAAGTTCATTTCTCCCGCTATAATTTTCTTTTTAATCTCACAATACACTTTATACTATTTCATTACTTTATTGATTTCAATTAAAAATTTATTTTTCAAAAATATATTCTTATTGTTTTATCAAATATTATTTTCTCTTTCAAAACAATTTCTCGAAAAAAATAAAATTTGAGCTCTGTTGTACTCCACTTCGCCAGGAAATGTAATCAATGCTACCAAAAATTTCTCAAAACAAGTATTTTCATATTTTTCTTTCAAATAATATCTTTTTTTTGGCATAATTTCCAATTTTATTTTCTACTACACGTTCAATTTACTTTTTGAGTTTAAAAATCTATTTGTAATTTTAAAATATATGAAATATATAATCAAAATATGCTTTTTGTAGTTAGGGATTTTATTTTTAGAGAATCTTTTAGTGAGTAAATATTTCCCCAAAAATTCGACCTCGAAAGAGGAGAGAGAAAGTATGGGAGAAGGCAGAGAGAGAGAAAGAGATAGATGACTGTACTCACGCATATTTTCTGCGTCGCTTCCGTTTTGCTTCTCCTCCTTCGTTTCCCAACTGCCTGGCGGCGTGTAGTCGGCCATTATTCATCGTCCGAGTCCAGCAGTTGAAGTGTCGCTCTCGTTGGAAAACTGAAAATTAAACATCAAAAATTCGTAAGTAATAATAAATAGAAGTATATTTTTTAAAATTATTCCTCTTTCTTCAAAGTAATTGAAACTTAATTTGCTTGGCTTTTTTTAAATATAAAATTCAACCTTTGAATTAAAAAGAAACGTGCTCTCGTTAGGTTATAGAATCATCAATTTATGTTAGCATTTTGTTCTTTTCTTTCAATTCGAAAATGAATTTTGTTAATAAATATTTGTTTTTTTTTTGTTTAGAATGAAGAAAACAGTATTGAAAAATACATTTTCGACGTTTGTACATCGAAAGCGTCGAATTTTGTACATCGTATAAATTTTGAGATGAACCAAGCTTCAAGTACAAACGAGATTGCAGTCTCTCAAAATGGTTTCTTTTTCATGGGAGCATTGATGCTGAAAATGCTGTTGAATGAAAAGTATTGCAACAGACGAGAGGAAAATATAAATGGCATAAAGGTGAGTCAGCATTTTTTTTCTAACAAATATTTCTCATTTTTTAAATTTAAATATTAATTCTCTTATCTAATCCAAAATGCAACTTGTTTTTCGATAGTAGAGTATATTTTAAACATTTTTAGTCGCAAAGAATTGTGTTTGATAAATTATAATATAACTGATATGATATTAAAAAAAAGACGCCTCACTAATTTCACTCAGAAGGAAGTTTGTTTGAAACAACCAAACTTTGGTTCAATCATGTAAATTAATGCATTGCTATACAGTTAACCAAACATTTGTTAAGTTTTACTAAAAATTTTCTTCGACTAACAAAATTCTTCTTTCGAATTCAAAGTTAATTAATATTAATTTATTTATTAGTAAAATACAAATTTAATTAAATAAACTAAATTTAATAAAATTAACTAAAATATTTAAAAAGCAACGCAGCAGCAGATTGTGGCTTTTGTTCAATAAAAATTTAATTAAACTTTAATACATTTTAAATATACTAAATAATATAATTGAGGGGCTGGATGCTATAATGTGTTACGCGCCATTCACTTAACATGGCGCGTAACACATTATAACATCCAATCCCTCAATTATTTGAATCAAATAAACATTTACTTAGATTAAACAAACTTTATTAACAATAACCTAAAAATAAATATTATACAAAAAATAGAGTAATTCAAACAAATTTTTTCTGAGTCTTAAATAATATTTATTTTATTTTTCAGTTAAAAATAATTCTTAAAGCATTAAATGACTAATTTTTAACTGAAAAGTAAAATAAATATTTATTTTTTAGTGTGCTTAGCATTTAAAACTATAAAAATAGTACAATAATCAATTTGATTGTGAATTTCGAAAAGGAGTCATCTATGAAAACCGTAAGAGTCATTTTCACTCTCTACTGTTAGGTGAAAAAGACCCTTATGGTTTTCAGAGTTGGACCTTTATTGAAATTCACGATTAAATTAATTAAATAAAAATTTTTATTTTGTACTGACATTTACTACTATTTAAAATATTAAATTAAAAAAAATATAACGAATCATTTAAAAATTCAGGTATATTTCAACTTGACCAGCCTTTGGAAGTAGCAGAAGAAATATTGCCAACTGCCTACCTGAAGAATATTTTACGAAAAGCTGTTACAATAGACTCACAATACCTTTATAACCTTGGAAAGGATTGAAAATAATTTATTCAGGTAAGAGACATGTTTGAAGAGAATAGAAGGGGAGAGAAAACCCCAACGAGATATGAATTTACAGAATAATAATTTTTCTCAGATTTATAACCACTAATACTTTTTCTATTATTTTAGGCAAATTCTGCTTAATCGTTTGAAGAACCAACAAATGAAATAATTACCATCCACTCTCCTGCTCAACTGAGAAGAATTCTAAAGAAATCCTAATCTCTTCGTTCAAAGTAATCTTCTAGGTGAGATAAGCAAGTTCTTGTATTATTTTTCAACAGAATTTTAAATTCAAAATTTTACTGTCAACTATACTTTAAAACTCAACAATTTTTACAAAATATTTCAATTTTTTACTTAGATAATTAAAACATTAAAAACTACGATTTTAAGAAATATAATTTTGCGAATAAAATGCAACCATAAGGATTAAAAAATCATACAATCTAAAAAAAACTAAGTACTAAAAACTAATTATACTCATCGTTAGTAACATTTGGATGAAGACTAAACTTCATGAAGAGGGTCCCTATGTTGGTAGAACAAACATAGACCAAAATGACTTAAAGTCATTATTGAAGATAATTTGCAAAAAAAAAATTATTACAAACGGAAATTAAAAGAGCTTACTTTGAATATATCAAAAAAAGGATTCTCATTTATTACTTTCACTTAATAATTTTTATCTTCACAAAATTAGACCTACTGGCATCATTGACTCTAGTAGATTATTTATCAGTAAATTCAAAGATGCTAGTTTTCATAAAATTTAAAAATTAATAATCAAATTCTAGATGTAATTTGTAAAAAAAATGTTACAAACGGAATTTTAAAAATGTTATTTTGCAACAATTGTTAGAAAATCATTTTTCCTGTATACTTTCAATTTCTAAGTTTTAACTTTTAACTTTTTTAACTGTTGAAAAACTTTTGCAAAAACAATTTGCAAACAAAAATTATTACAAACGGAAATTAAAGAGACAAATGGTGAATATAATTTTAAAATATCATTCTTCCAGTGCTTTACTTAATTTTTAACTGCTGGAAGAATTATAATAAAAATTTAAAGTGAATTTAATTTTCAAAGAAACAATGATTGCTAACGGAAGTTAAAAGAAAATAAATAAATTAAAATTTAAAGAATCATTTTTTCTCAATTATTTCACTTAATAATTTTTATTATTAATTACTCTTATTAATGTGACACTTTCATGATTCTCTCACATATCACCCAGATACAAATTGAAATAGTCTAAATATAAAAGCCGATAGAATTCATTGTTTCTATTCTTGTCTCTCTATGGAGCAAATTGCTACATAAATATGTATCTCTACAAAATATGGGCGCCAGATACCTTTAAATTTACTTTTTTGAATTAATTTTTTCATTACAAATAATTAACTCTAACAACCCTTCATATTTTAATTTAATGGTTATTTTTAATAAATAACTTTTCCTCAGACTTGTCTGAACATAATTCGATTGTGTAAATTACAAAATTCTTTTTTTTGTCAATTATTCTTAATTATAATTCATAAATAATTCCTTAACTTTATATAATTATAACTAACTTTTTCTTTGAACAAGGATCGATCGTATTATTTATAAAATTTATTTTTATTTATACAATAGTTACAATAAATTATATTATCAGATAATCAAAATTAAAATGTCATAAAGATTTAATTTAATTTGGACTACTAGAAGAACCTTCATATCACATTTCATTGTAAATAATTTAAAATAAAAAAATACACTCTTTAAATTTTCTTCTTTCAAAAATGAATTCGATCGTATATTTTTATTAACTCTAACTTGCCATTTGTTTTAATTTATATGCTAAATGTTCAAAAGAAATTTTTGTTATTTCTATTATTCATTAGTGATTGACTCCTTTCAACGTTGAATTTATTCATCATCTAGTATGGAAAACTTTTTACCACATATTTTTCATGCATTATTACTTTATTAACTTCACTTATTAACTTCATCCAACGTCATGTTTATTCATCATTAAATATAATACTTTTTTTAATTATTAATATTAAATAAATTTCTCACTACTTCATCCAATGTTACATTTAACTATTCCTTTCTTCCTAGTAATTAGTGAAATTCATATGTAAATAATTAAATTTAAATTAACTATTGATATTTTAAATTTAATTGTTTCTCCTAGCGTTGCATTTATTCATCATCAATTACATTGTTTATTTTAATGTTTTTCTTTAAATAAATATTGTAAGGAATATTTTGTAAAAACAAATTGTTTGTGTAAAATATCTTCGACGCATGGAATGTTATAAAATTTGTTTAATTTGTAAAATAAACCGATTTTTTACGAATATTTTCTGTATAAGTAATTATTACCCAAAGCCTTTAAAATTATTTTTTTAACAATAAACGAAAATAAAAAAAGTCGGCTTAAAAAATAAGATTTTAGTTGGTATTTTTTCTGCTTACCGACGGACAATTAGTATCTGCTCTGTTTAACCATCAAATTTGCCGGTAAATCTAATTGTAGAAGAACGAATATGAAGTTCGTATAATTTCTTATAGATGGAAGCTACTACTTCAGTGGAATAAAATTTCAAATACTTAATAACTTTCCCCATATAAGAAAAGTTCGTAAATTAGTTGTTACGAGAAAGATAATTATAATAATACTATTATAATTTAATAGGAAATTTCTAAAAACAAAATATTTAAAAAAATCAACCACTATTAATGTATGCATACATGAAAATTTCATGACAAGACATGTAGAACATTTTTATATCAAAACGGCCACTTATTCAATTAGATTCACTTTCACATAACTCCTGTATTCATTTAAGATCTATAATTTACAAGATTGGAGCTTTCAGAAAACTAGTTTGCGATAGCTACTACTCCTTTTTTTTAGATTAAAAAAAGACATCATTCACGTGACATACACACATATTTAATGTCTAAATTAAATGCCGTATTAGATTTTTTGTCACTAAAAAGTATTCTACATAATGACAGTATTTCAAACACACTTTTATTCATTTAACAGAAATCTAAAGGTTCATTCATTGGAAAATATCGAGACACGTGTAAATTCAATTTTCTTTTAAGCATAAATCAAATAATAGACAAATCATAAATAGTGAATGAGTCAATTAATCTTAACGGGCAATAACATTGTACTAAAATGTTTTATACATCAAAAACTGTTTTATTAGGTTCGAAAATCAAACATTTACAGTTTGAACAAGTTTTCTTTTGTATAAAACACATTTTAGTTGGACAAAAGTATTATTTTAGTTAAAACCTATTTTAGTTGGACAAAAAATAGTTTTTTTTAGTTCTAACACCGTTTGCTTCATACAAATATGTTTTTACTAGTTCTATCCACTTTTAGGTAGTTCCGAACATGTTCAAAATGATTAGAAACGTTTTTGATAACTTAAAGTAAAAGTTTACATTAGAGCACATTTTTTTTAGTCTAAAAATATGTTACTTAATAGTTGCAAAAGTTTATTCTACCTTAGGACATGGTTTAACAATAGTTCAAGTAGATTTCATGTATTTTCCACTATGTTCTGCACCTAAATTAAAAGATTTCGTTTAAAATCCATAAGTCAAGCAATAAGATTTTTGCGATAAAACATATTATTTATATCTAAAATGTGGTTTACTTTAATTTAACACGTTTTGAGGTATATGTTTAAAACATGTTTTAAATAGTCCATACCGGTTTCAAAGTTGTATTTGGCTTTCTTATAAAAATTCTACCTTCTATTTGAAATAAACCGAGAACGAATCTGGGAATGATTAATGAATCAAAGCCACTTTTTTTTGGGAACAGTTGTGTTGTTGAAGAGTTAAGAGGCTTCAAGTACCGAAAAAAAGTCTTGAAAATTGCAAAGTGCAGAGGAAAAGAAAAAGCAGTGTTACAAATCATATGGGTAAGTCTCTTGCACCTGCTCCTTGAGTCGCACGTGTGTAGGTATAGTATATGTATATAGTATGAATACGGGATATATATATTTTTTTTGAATTGAATATATCTATATATTTTTTTTTAATTGAGTAGGTATATATATATATATATGTATTTGAGCAAAAAGGAAATTGAGTCGGTCCTTGCTTACCAAAGGGCTTTAATTACATTGAAATTGTCATGCTAATGTATAAAGGCTATCGTTTACAGTCTCTCCCACATCAAGTGTGCTTATTGTGCTTATTCATCGAAATTTGTGTCATTTATAATACAGGCGCACATATTTGTATATATGTATTGTTCGTGACTTACACACGGGACGATTTTTTTTCTTCCTTCGTCAGCACGAGTCCTCGAATCACCCCAGGGATTTTAACCCCATTTTACCCCATTTTATAGGGACTAAGTTTGACGAAAAATTGGGTGGCGCTGACTGTTCAGTTACCAAATTTTAATTGAAATACAGTAACTATTATTTTTTCCACGAGAAGAACTTTTTTCTGGGTGCGTTTAACCAATTGCACCATCTTTTAAGGAACCATCTTATTTTATTCTTCTTTCAAAATAAATTCGATCGTATGTTTTTAATTAATTTAACTTGACATCTAGTATGGAAATTAATCAAACGTCATGTTTATTCATCATTAAATATAATACTCTTTTTTTTAATATTATTATTAAATAAATATCTCACTATTTCATCCAATTTTACATTTAGCTATTCCATTCTTCCTAGTAATTAGTGGAATGCATGTAATTATTAAGTTTAAATAATTTATGAATATTTTTCAAAGATTCGAAATGTGAGAAGAAGAATTTTTTTTCTGCATATAGAATTGAACCACTTTAAAATTATTTTAAAGTATAAATTATGTTAAATTAAAAACAGTATTAAATTACAAGTACGCATATGTACAGATGTAAATGTAATAAAATGTAAGCATGTAAAGAATAAATGGAAATTAAATTCTTTTATTATTATCATCATCTTGAGGCTTGGAAATAAATATTGTCACAATGTACTGGTAGTGAGCGCCACCACCGGTCAACATTTGTGAGAGTTTTAACTCAAGGGTGTCACTGGGGTGCCTCGAAGAGTCCACATCGTATAATAAACATGGACACGGCATGGCAGGTGGCGCCCGCATCAACGGGGAAAAAAATCAGATAAGGAAAGAAGAAGAAGAAGTAGAAAGAATATTGAAGGCCGGACCAGCAGGACTAACGAAGGAAAACCACACTTTACATTTAATTTACACAATAAATTTGTCTCAACGTCAACGTATAGTCTCATCGAACATGAACAACCTTTCAAGCGACAACTTCCACTCGTCGTCATTGCATAGCACACTATTTCGTTTTCTACAGAGTGTACAAAAAAAAGGAAGGATGACGTAGCAAAATTTTGCACCTGCAAAAATTTTTCAAGTGCGTACAAAATTTTGTTATTAGCGTCATTCTATTCTATTCTTTCTCTTTGTCTCTTTCCTTTCTCTCTCTCTCTCTCTCTCTCATTTTGTCTAGTGCTCGTTTTGGCTAGATTTAGAATTTTCGTATACTGAATAGAAAAAACCAGGTCGATCCAAAAGAGGACGGCTCTTACGAGAATGAAACTGAAAGAAATAAATGGAAACTGACTGGAGTCCAGGTGAATTGGTGAACGCATTCGCAGGTGAAAAGGGACAAGTCAAAAGACCCTGCTTTTGCAACAGTGGCAAAGGGCGAATCCCGCAATGTGCTTTTGCCGCGGGGATCGCGGGCTAATCCAGCTGGAGGAGAGGAAAAAAAGAAGATTGTTATAACCTTCTTCTTCTTCTTCTTCTCTCCTTCTCTCTTCTTTCTATATAAAATACCCTCTTTTATTCAAGAAATCCCGGCACTCATTTTTTTTTCTTCTTCACCACGTGTCCCATGTAAACCGCACAACGATAATCCAGTGATTAATTGTCACACACTTATATACACAATTTTCATTCGGCTCACGCCGCTTTTATTTTTCTTCACCTTCAACTATTTAGGGTCGCTTCATTAAATTTCATTGATAGAGTGATCTGTTTTAATGGATAGAACGCATTTTTTCTTTTAAATCTTTTGCCTAATCATGAAACTTGGGGCGTGAGAGGTGGAAAAAAGGGGCGAAAAAAAGGTGTGCGTATATACACACAAAAAGGTGTCTATGTATAGTTTCCTTGTCCTGCATTCGACTCGCCGAGTCATCTATTTGGATCATCATGGCAGCATTGGTCAAAATGGAAATCTCAAATAACTCTATAGACTCGTACTGTGCACTCTTTCCTTTTCATTCAAGAAAGTGAGCGAAGAGGGGGGGGCGTATTATATAGTGTGGATGTGTTGTATATGACGCGAGCC